TACATTTGGTTTTTTCTAAATTTGAAAATATTAACAAACATCAATTACAAATCAGAATAAGATAATTCTACAAAAAAAAGAAAATATTTCAAAATGTACTTTCAATATAACTCCAATGATTATAGTTAATCCAACTAGTTTACTTTTTTATTTGTGAATGTTAAACAATTAGTTATAAAATTATAATATTTGTAATCTATACAGGGTGATTCTTCATATACTTCTTTTTTAACTCTGTTAATCTAGAAGTTACTAATATAAACAATTCTTTCAAAAAATTTCAAAAATACAAAAATTAATTGGGATTTGAGTGTGGTGACCTATGGTTCCACGCAAGGAAGAACGTAATTATTTTCAGCGTAGAAAAATCAGTGAAACTGGACAAGTTGCGTAGCCACAGAGGTTTTCTCTTTTTCTATTTTTGAGGGAAAGAATTGTTTGTTTTAATGACTTCTTTATAAAGATAAAAAAGAAGTATTAACTTAGAAATAACACTGTACGCACGATATGTGTTGTTAGTTTATAAAATTGTGCTAATCTGACATTTTACATAGTTTGCATATTTTCTTGGTTATTATCAGCACTGTTACTTCAAAAACTATTATAATAATGAATATGCCATATTATTAGTATTACCCAGTCATGGTAAAACACTCTGTTTACCTTTAAAATTGTATAAAAGAAAATAGCAGAAGTAAATCAATAAATGTTAAAACCGTTTTCATTTTTGAAGTCAAAAGGTTTGCAGTTAATATTTGTTCTACGTGACTTCAACTTCAAATTTAAATTGTTTCGAATTACAATTATTCATTTTATATTGACGGAAATTGTTCAAGTACAAAGTGAATTTGTATTGATTTTTTAAAACTATTGAATACTTTGTTGAGTAATATTTAATATCACATGAAAAAAAGCAGTCGCCTAAAAGAGTGTGATATTGAATTAAAGTTTTAAGTATTCCTTGCTCTATCTAGTAAGTGGGGTCTGAGCTAGTATTATTTGATAATAGATATATAAAATTTTAACGTTAACATTTCCATGTGGGTGTCAAGAGATACTTTTTATAGAGCACTCATAAATTTAATAGGTTTGTATTTCGTTTCAAAAAAAATTTGTGTTGTCTTTAATTACAGTAACACTTAGAAAACTAGCAGCAACTCTTGACAGACATAATTTATCAAATTAGTTGATAGTTTTTCGTCTGATCAGTTTCTTAAAGAAGGGGGTTCAGAAAGACCTTCTTGTGGCCCCATACAAGATCCAGTTAACTTAAGAGCTTCAACTTAAAGATGACGAACGTCATCAGACATACACTAATGTGATGTTGCAGATCAACAATAAGTTAGCAAGAGTTAGGAAGAATATTCTTACGATTATAAAAGATGAAATTGGGGGACTGAACACCCATAAATAATTCACCAATGACGTTTACATTCTCAGAGAGTAACTAGAGTGGTGTGCCATTTGGGCTAGATGCTGATGCTGAAGGTAATATTGTATAAGTAATTGGTAAACGATACCATGAATATTTTCTTACATAGAGTAAATGATTTGGGTCTATAAACAATGTGATGTTAACAGGATGGCACCAGATCACATATAACAAGAGCTTTGATGAAAGATTCTTTGAATGGCTTAATTTACGTTGATAATTTTTTCCACAAACTATTGATAAATCTTTATCTAAAAGATGTAGGAGGGTGGGTTGATTAACAACATTTAGGCTTCATTGGGTACATTGTAAACTTGTCTCTCCACTTGTCAAAAATCTGCTTCCAGCGCCTTAAAGTCATGTAGGTTATCAAATCATCAAAAACCTGGTGGTTGTCACTAGAAGTTTCTAGGGAAAGCCAACCTCTCAAGGCAAAATCCTAAAGGTTATTAACGTCACCGAGAGGTGTGTATAGATGCCTCATTTTTGGAAGTGGCCATTTTCTGGACTACTGCCCATATGGTTCGTGTAAAGAAATTATATCTGACCACTCCACAAAGCATATTGAACAATTGAACGAAAACATTTGCAAAGCTATAGCTTGAATATCGGTAAAAATTTGCCAGTAATTGATAATGCCATAAGTATTAAGAGTAATTTTAAAAAATCGACTATAAAATCGTGCAGATGTCATCACCACCTGAGGTACTTCCTTACTAGCAAAAAAAGAATCATAGAAATCGGACAAGGCTGTAAAGAATTATCCGTAAACATACATAAAAATGAAGAGTTTGGGGATTTTCTCATGGACCAATTATTAGATTTTGACCAAATTTATATGGGACACCGTGTAAAAGAATTATCGCTGAACATACATAAAATAATATTTATATACCCACAAATTGAGAACCTCCTCCTTTTTTGAAGTTGATTAACAAGAATCGCAGTCAGAGGTGTTAATTAAGGAAACATTATTTTTATTACATAAAATACAACCTTACAATTTGTAGGTGTAAGAAAAAAGAAAGTATATTTTATTCAACTCAATAAATCGCCGCCTTAGTTCACTTAGAACGGATGTTCAATTATTAGCAAATACGAACTTCCAACTTATTTCAATCTATATACCTATATATTGTACTAACAGCTGAAGTCCATAGAATAATAAAAAGAATACTACAGAATTCACTAAGGTCTGTTGTCACTTGTGACTTAAAATCCTTGACCCTGGAGTCTCCTGCAGAGGTGTACCCCAGGGATCGCCCTTAAGCCCATTATTGTTCAAACATCTCGTGCAACGTTTTTCAAAACCTTCCTCAAAGTATCCAAACAACTGGCTTCGCCGATGACTTCGCCTTAATATGTGCTCAAGATTCCATCCTAGAAACCATCAACATCCTCAACATTGCCTTATCTAATATTTCTGATCGACTTTCTACTATGGACCTGTCTCTTTCGCCTAAAAACAAAATCCAAACACATTCATCCGCATCAATGACACTCCCATTATGTGGAAACCTAACCACAGATATCTAGGAACAGTTCTAGACGAACACCTTAAATGGAACCTTCACATCGATGCAATAGCAAACAAGGCTGCGAAATCAATTAACCTAATGCGTTCTCCATGCGGAAAATAGTGAGGAAGCCACCCTTTTATTCTCTTAAACATATACAAAGCCACAGTCCTGCCCCACTTAGACAATAGATGTATATTATTTGGGAGATTTGCAAAAATCCGATTAAAAAAAACTTGACAGACTATAATACCAAGCTCTCAGAGTCGTTTCGGGATATCTGAAATCAACTCCTACCAATATATTACTTTCGGATTGTGGATAGTTCCCTCTCCAAGTAAGAAGAATGCATTTATCGGTATAATATGTCGGCAAAGGAATGGCCTACAAAGAAATCGTAAAAGAACTTTTCACCGATTGGGCATGAGACCCTAGTTTCTGGAATTCTAGAAACACCCCATCAATAATCGAAGCATTCCAAAAATATTCGTTTTTCCTACTATATACATTATCTCTAGACAAACTGCTTTGCCATTTATTCTCATTCAACTCTCAAATTTCTCACATCAAAATTGTAAATTTGGATCTAAAAAAACAATCAAACTGCAATGGACTTTTCTTGAAAAAAGTAAAATACTTTATTCAGAAATTATCACATGATACTCACAGATGGCTCAAAACCATCGTCCAAAGTGGCGTACAGAGTTTACTCGCCCAATCACTTCTCTATCTGTAACCAACTCCCAAATTTCTTTTCAGCAATGTCATAATCTTTTCTGATTCACAAAGCGCCATAATGGCTATCACACAAAGATCATTTTCTTCATCATCAGACTCGATCATCCTAAAAATCGAAGATATGTACTATCAATTATCTAGTCAAAATAAAGACATACGATTTGCATGGATTTCAAGCCACCAAGGCATCACGGGCAACGAAAGAGCAGATGCCATTGGAAAGAAGTGTGGCAAGGCCACATTTCCTCCTGGACACTACAAGGATGTCATTAACTCAATCAAAGTACAGAGTTTCGAAGAATGGTGTGACTTGTTTGAAAAAATTGGAAAGTGCAAAGGAATTATATATGCTCAATTCACAAAAAAGCCTAAAACGTTCAAAAAATACACCGACACATCCAGAAAAGAAATTTGCATTATATCTCGAATGAGAGTAAACTACTGCTTAACAAGGTTCTACATAAATAGACTGAAGATGATTCCTAGTGACTTGAGCGATTGTGGACAAAGTCAGGACTTGCAGCATATTTTTGCTCATGTTAATTTTTCTCATGTTTCCACAAATAAACACCAATATAGAAGTTCTACATAAATCCTTGAAGATTCCATAAAATATATACGGCATCCAACATCAAACTATAGTACAACTATCAACTGTGAGTTAATAAAAACAGTGTGTGATTCAAAAGTGAAGCCATAAGAGCCCTACCATACCGTAAAGTAGGTGCAAATAATCGTCGAGACCACCACCAATCAACCTAAAACCTTAGGCGGAATAGCCCTGGCAGCTGAGGCCTACAAAAATTGAAAAGAAGAAGACTTAAATTCAATCAGGCGAATCTGGTTGGTTGTTTATATTGCTTTCCTATAAATTTTGTATTTTGTGACATCCACCCTAAATGAACTTAAACGGATAAATAACATATTAAACTTATAAACGTTGCTCCTGCCCACCCTATACTGGGTCTTTCATTAGTAAACGGACAAACGTTAACCTTGGATAAGGGGCACCAAGATCGTTCTATGGTTAATGAGTCTCACGTCATTAATAACAGAGATATAGGTCTATAGACTGGTCGTACGAATTGGTAAAAATTTCTTTTGGTATTTTGTTTTTTTTTTGTTATTAAATGTAACTTAACTAACCCTATTTTTTACATTACATATCATTATATAATATGGAGTATATTTTGAAATATTTTCTTCTATATATATTTAAAAAACACAAAGAAAAACTGTAAAACCCAAAACTTTCAAATGGGATAAAAAATTCTTAAGAACTTCGAAAGTGGATGTTTACAAAGTTTACTTACTTTTCGGCTTCTGGAGGTGGGGTTTTCAGGCTTTTGAAGGCCTTCAACCACTTATTTTTCATGCTAGCCGTCGATGCGCCGGACATTTTTCGTTCGCGATTCACCGAGTCGCCTTCGAGTTTGTTCGAAAAAAGTTCTTTCTGAAAAAAAGAAAGAAAAATCATGGAAGCAGTAGGTATTGTGATTGATTTAGAGCAGTTGTCTCTAAACTACGGCGCGCCAGTGTCATCAATCCGAGCTTGCGACAGCTTATTGTTGCTGTGATAAGTTGGATAGAAAAAAAAAAAAAACAGAATGACAATCACTCTGATTTATTTACTTCTTAGATATAGCTTAATGACAAGTATAATTCGCAGAGAATTTAAGTTAAGCATAATAATTAACAAATAATTAAACCAAATCCTACTAACATTAGGTTTGTTTCAACTTGGTGTTTGGTGCAGTTCTTGTATCATACCAACAACAGTTCATAAACGATGTACTGCGCAAGCGCATCTGCAAGCGCATCTCTGAATGGTTTTGGAATCGGAAAAGAGTTAAAACGCTTTTAAAATTGTTGAAGGTCCGTAAATAGAAAAAATAAAAGAAGAAGAAAATTCTAACGTATATTATCTAACATGTATATTATCAATCTATTCTAAGCATAGACTACAGAACGAATAAGTAGACTATGTTAGTTTACTAAACGGATATAATTATTTCATATGCATTCTTCCAAACACACTGTATGGATATGAAAGACACTAACTACAGTTAATATTTAATGACCGGTTCACTATACAGTTTAAACTAAGATTACATTTTAACTGCCTATTGTACAACCCATCGGTTATTGTTAAACATAGTTTTAAAAATTACAATTTGTAATTTCAATAAAACTAGATTAGTTATTTTAGAGTACATAAATGTTTCAAATATAAAACGAAATAAAATAAAACCAGAACTGTCGCATAAAAGGCAGAGAACATAAAATGTGCTGTAATGAATTCATTCGGATCGAAAGCTTGTTGTTTGAATTGTGAAAGCGAAAACGTTAAAAAAATATTTCGAATATATACATAAAACGGATAAGCATACAGTGGAAATCGAAACGAAATTGCAAATATTTTGATTAATATTTACAAAAGTAGATAACCCGACAAATGCAAAAGGTTGTCAGAAGTTGTTTTTTAAATTAGCGTTATATAAATTATCTCTTTATACGGTTTTTTCTTGCTATTTTTATTAACAAAAATAAAATACATAATATTTTTACTTTCCTATCTGTATACAGATATAAGGAAAGTATAGGAATCATGATTTTTTTCGACCTTACGTTTTGAGGTCCCCTGAATCCGTTTTGACTATTTTCGCGATGATGTGTGTGTGTGTGTGTGTGTGTGTGTGTGTGTGTGTGTGTGCGTGTGTGTCGTTCTTTGCTTTTGAATGATGTATCATAGAGACCACTCCGATCTTGTAATAATTTTTAATTGATGGTTGTTCACAAAATTTCCCCGCGCTCCAAAAACAGCAAAAATTTGAGATTCAATAAACAAAGATTAAATGAAAATTCCAAAAAATTAGCGTATACAAATTTCACAGATGACAAAGAACCTTATGAGGACCCATAATCAAGAAAATTTTGAGGAAATTAGTGCAATACAAAAAAAATAGGAACAAATTTCTGGCGAGGTCAAAATTGCCCGGGAGCAGAAAGTTTGACCCGTGTTCTGACATGGCCAAAAGAGTCAAGCGTGACTTAAGTTACAGGGTATTATAGCAGCAGAATTCCTCTTTCACATGAACTTTGAATCATGAGATAATATCCATTTTTAACAAAGTTATTGAATAATTTGTCCCCCCGCTGATGTGTAAATACACGAACTGTGCTCTCCGGCATACAACCCAGAAGCTCAATATTCAAGGCGCGCTTGGTGCCGTTTTTCTCGAAACCGGGCAAATTTTCGAGAAAAATCATAAGGACCATTTTTGTAGAAAATTAACTAAACTTCAATTTTTATCTGAACCAAAAATCTCTAACTGCCATATTTTAGGAGATATTCGCTGAAAACCTATATTTCTGGTCTTTTGGGGCCATTTTCTCGGCCATCGCACGCGTTTTCCACGCAAACTTTGTCCCATGTTTAATGAGGTACCAAAAGCTACTTCCAACCGGAAGATGAAAATAGGGCGTAATTAAGTCCAACTTTATCCCTTTATTTATTGGACTACTTCTCGATTTCCTCTGTAAACACGTGACCGCACCTCGGACACATTTAAATTATCTCCGCAAGAGAATAAATGAAGTTGATGGCAGTTAGCTCCAATTATCTAACTAATAAAAATGTTCTTTTTAATATACGTGAATTGTTAGTTTTTGTAACATATTTATATGTTCTAATAACAATATATGTTCACATGGTTTTGTTTAAGTTTATTTGTTATATTTTTGGTCAACTTTTATTGTGACATCAATAATATATGGAAAGGTCTAGATGAGCTGATTTTAAAAAATATAACCTTCATAAAACTGTACTATGTCGACATATTTTACTTTACCTACGAGGTACCGATATTATCCATAAACATAAGTTATTTTCTATATTTTTATATGAAAATTTTAAAAACCAAAAAGTAAGAAATTATAAATGTTTACGAAGAATTTTTATATGGTTTGATGCTATATTGATAGTTATCAATTGAAATAATTTAATTAACGTCTTTTTTATGTTCGAGAGTGGACAACACATTTTAAAAAGTTTAAGGTAGAAAACCAATTTTTTAGAGTATCAGCGAACTCAAAATAGTTATGTGCAGTGTGTTTCGAAGTGTCTATAAGCTTTCTGTAAAATTTAAATAGTAATATTTGCAGTTCACGTTTCATGGTATACACATTACCAATATATTTTCATTTTTTCTATGGTTCATATTATCTATAGTCGATACTATTTATTAATTTTGATGTTTGCTACTTTCGACATCTTGTAGTTTCAAGATATTGTATTGTCAATTTTTTGTTTATCGATATTTTTTATTACACCATTTACTTTGGTCTTATAAATTAACTTTTTTATCATAAATTGAACGTGCAATCTCTTTTAAACTAAACTAGGATGGTAAGATGATAAGTTATAAAACTTTTCACTTTTATAAAACTGTGTTACTAAAAAAAATCTAATATACATTCATTTTATACGATAAAATCAATAAAACACGATAGTTATTTACTTACCAAGTGAGTTTTCAGCGTCACCCAACCCATTTTACCCGAAAAATTCACAAAAAACCTGACTCAATAATAACCTCAATCGAGCGCAGACGGATCAGATTTACCGTCGAAAAGTTTAGCTTTATTGTCAGCGAAAACCGTTATCACGACAAATACTATCACAATTTGGGGCAGAAAATATCACAGCGCGGACTTTCGATAACAATTCGTACAATTCTGGATAAAAATATACCTATCTAACGAGAAAAACAGTAAACACGTTGTTCCAGAACCTGTTCAGGAGCTAGGACAACAATTTATTGATGATCCTGCCTGCGCAAGGACTTTAGCGCGCACGCTGTAAAGAGAGTTCGGTGAAATGTATACGACGGATGGCGAAAGTGAACGAGGAAAATATTGAGGGAAATCAAGGAGTTTTAAAACTTTAGGATTCCCATCTCCATTAGCGGTGGCGTATACTCTTTGTCTCAGAAAAGTTATATTTAATATTTAATAATAATTAAGAGTTGATTAACTTCAAACCGGATGATGGCCCCCTAATGGCTCATATATCTGTATTAAATTCGGCCAAAGTATATTATGTTTTTTAAAAATTATGTCCCTATTGGTTTTAGTTTAGTTAATTTATTTAAAAGATAAGTAGGTAAGTACATTAATATATTTTGATTTTCTATCCTCCATATTTTTATTCATAGTTAATATTATGTTATTTGGTATTTAGTTATTTTGACAGTTTGTACTTTTCACATTTTGTACTTTCAAGACTCCATCTATACAGATCTGTACAAAAAAATCTGATGTGTCCAACACATGACTTTCCTATCTAGTTATTACAGGCGTTTTCCGTTTATTGTGTACAACCTATTGCAGCATCTCTATAAATGTTTAGAGAATAAACTAAATATATATACATTGTCCACATACATCTACCGCGAAACATTTTTCTATAGATATTCATTGAAAATGAAAATACTGAAAAATTTAAATTTAGCACTTTTCCTACAATTTTTCCATTACGGTCCATTTAAAAAAAATCATGTATAAACAAATATTATAGAGATCGATATCGCAAACAACTTTTATTTCAACAATTTTCATAAAAATCAGAATTTTGCACATTTTGTCAAATTTCTCGAATACGGACCATTTCAGGAAATTTGTACATAAGGCAAAAATTATAGATAATAATATTAGAAGTAACTTTTATTTGAACAATTTTCTTCTCAAAACATAAATAACAGATATATTCCATAAAATATATAAACGGCCTCCCATAAAGTACCCCCCCAGATGTTCCGACTTTGTCCAAAATCTAATCATTTCACGTCAGGCCGAAATAAAACTTAAGTTTAAAATTTATTGATTTTTTCTTTATCCGTTTTTGAGTTTTCTTCAAATTTCGAAATTTACACATTTTCTCAAATATCTCGAATACGGTCCATTTTAGAGAAATTATTTATGGGACAAAAATTATAGAGAATTATATTACAAACAACTTTTGTTTGAACAATTTTTATAAAAAAAAAATATTTTTTTACGTTTTGTCAAATTTCTCGAATACGGACCATTTTAGGAAAATTTTGTAAATAACAAAAATTATAGATAATAAAATAAGAAGTAACTTTTATTTAAAAAATTTTCTTCCCCAAACGTAAATAACAGATATATTCCATAAAATATAAAAATGACCACCTATAAAGTACCCCCCAGATGTTCCGACTCTGCCCAAAATCTAATCAGCTCATTAGACGCTGGAATAAAGCTTAAGTTTGAAATTTAGTGTTTTTCCGTGTATCGGTTCATGAGTTATGCGTTATACAGACACACACACACACACACACAGACAGACAGACATCATCGCGAAAATAGTCAAAACGGATTCAGGGGACCTCAAAACGTAAAAATCCGTCGAAAACTCGAGGTCGAAAAAAATCATGATTCCTATACTTTCCTTATATCTGTATACAGATAGGAAAGTAAAAATGAGTATTATTGGGCAACTACGTCAAGTTTATCAGTTCCTATTTAATAGAAGTGTCTGAGTGTGACTTTATGTTGTTTTAGATTTTGCGTAATTTTGATTCATTCAGGCTTGCTCCAGAGCTTGCATATTGGACCTTTTGTTTATCCTCTTTGTTAATGACGTAACATAAGTTATCTCCTTCATGTGTATCGCCTAAAAAAGGTTTCAATCCTTAATCTGGTTTAATGGTGGGATGATAACTTGCTTAATCTCAGTAAGCATTGATATGGCGAAATTATGGTACAAAAATACAACAATTAAAGATTGCATAATAAGCAGCTTAATTTAATGTTTAGGACCATATTAACATTAATTGGCACTATTTTACTGCATATTAAATTAAAAAAATACTGTTATTTTCTTTTCTTAAGTGTTTTTAATCTAAAGTTTAGAGAGTCTATACCTTTCCCTCTTCCATAAAGAAACGTTCAAATGGATATTAACTTACATTCTCTCCGTTTTTTTTTTGTTCAGCACTTTCTAATTTTGCTCAAGTTATTAATGTTAGAATTATTGAATTTCCTAGGTAACGCCGATATAATATAGTTTCTATAGTATTAGTTGTAGTGGTTTTTACGATTAATTTCGTAAAAGATGTGTCTTTTCTTGTATATAAAGCTAAGAAGCTGTGTTTCGCTCATCTACTATATCAGGTTACGGGCGCAGATATGATCTAAAGCGTAAAAATGTTGTTATTCCTCAAAATATGTCAAAAATTAATTTGAGACATATTTCGTGGAAGTTCGATGTGGATTTGCAGTTTACTGTTCACAAGGTAAGAAATTGTTACTGGACATTGGATTACGCCAAGAGCTCTAAAAGAAGATGCGTTTTCTGAAGAAGAGGATGTTTATCATAAAGACGTTTCCAGTTTGGTTCAAACGTTTCTTCTGCTATGAAGCAACATATTCTAACTTATCAAAGTGGGAAGGGTATGTGTGACGTGCTTTATTCCATCTTCGAGCAGAATAATGAAAGAAGGTTAGTTATATAGTCAACTATTTAGTTATTTGAAGGTATCTGCTGACACCATTGCTCTATACGTTTTTAAGCTGCAGAAAATCTGGCAAGATTTGCAAGATGAACTCACGGCTGATAAAGTACAACTACTTGAGTCTATGTTGCTAAATAGAGTGCTTACTACTATGCTGCCTGTAGATTATTTAGAATGGAAGAATGCTTGGGAATCAACACCAATTGCAAAAAGAAGTCTCATTCGATTGACCATTGTTAAGACTACCTTAGCAACGTCTAGATGAACTGAAGAGAAACCGTTACTCAATGTTCCCAGAATACAGATGAAAAAAACATAAACAATAAGAAGTATCAGATGAAGGTGCGTTGTTATGGTTGTGGAGAAGAAGCCCATGAAAAGAGAAATTGTGCGAAATCAGGTTTGTCATCTAAAAGGAAAGAGAAAAGTTTTTTGATGATTTTGGTGTGGAGAAGAGTCTTGATGACTGGGTCCTATATTCAGTTGCTAGTTCTCACATGACTAGATCAGAAAAAGGAATGATGAATTTTAATGATTAAGAAAAGAAGAGCATCACTATGGTAAATGAAATGATCAAATCTGAAGATAAATGTAATGTAAAGGTAACTCTTTTGCATGATCTGGGCAATATAAATAAAAAAAATGTCGACTATATTCCTGAGTTGTCTGTTAATTTTTAATCTGTTGAAAAAGTAACCGATAACCATTTTTTGTAGTTTTTCGCCCAAAGAAGCCAAAATTTATGTTACTAATAGTTTTTTTTTAAATATGGACCAAATAAAAATAAAAATGCTATTTAATTATTGATTCTACACAAAAATAACTATTTTTAATGTATATTTAATTTCAATAACTAAAAAATATAATGACAATTAATTTAACAGAATGGTCATATGCAAAATATGAACTGTCATTGGTGGATTTCATTTTTGTGCAGTGTTCTCACTACCTAAAATGGATATGAAATATATCCGTTTAGTTGAACGCAATGACAAACCTTTTCGTTTTGTAGTCTGTGCGTAGATGAGCTAATATCCATGTGGGTGTAGAAAAAATATATTTATAATGTCCATTTACCACACAATAAGTACCACCTGATTATAAATAAACCGCACAAAAGCACTTACTTGGGCATTGAGAGCACTAAGATGAATCTGAGCGACTGTCAGGTCGAACCTCTTCATTGATATGTCTTCTTGCAATTCGTTGGCTTTGTTATACAGCGATGCTTCGACGGACTTTTGCTGAATCCTCAGCAGGGTATCTACGGCATCCTGGATTTGACGGATTTGAATCTCAAGATCTTGAGCTTCTTTATGAAGAACATCGTGGCTGGGTTTCAATTGGACTGCCGACAGTTTATCGATTACTAGTTCGTCACGTAAGGGAGGAGGGACGATATCCTGTAAAAAATATTGTTATTTGAGAATAGAAAGACTCAAAAGGATGGTTTATATGGAAAATTATGATAAAACCAACGAGGTTTATATTTTTATTGTTCTATCAGGTTATTTACTGAAGCAGATTTTAATTTGACTGTTAAAAGATTTAAAGGTAAAACAGTAGCAGGTATTGATGAACTTCTTCCGTATGTTCTAAAGGGTTGTTATATTTAATCTAATTGTTTCTTCGTCTGTTCATCCAACGTACTGGAAAACTTCCTTAGTAACTCCTATATACAAACCAAGTAACAAAATAGAGAATTTCAGACCAATCTCTATTATGTGTGTTCTTGCAAATCTAGTTGAACAGATTGTTTACAAAGTAGCATAATAATATGCTGAAAAATACATAATACCACAACAGCATGGTTTTGTAATGAATAAATCAGTTAATACTAATTTGGTTTTATTTTTCAACAACGTTCATAATACCTTAGAAGCAAAACAATAGTTGTATACTACTTTTACATATCTTCAAGAAGCCTTTTGCTTTAAAAATTGAATATTTTTGTTTTATCGGATAAGTTGTTAAATCTGATAAAAAATTATTTGAAAAATAGATCATTTATTCTTAAGTATAACGATAAAATGTCAGATAAGTTTTCTGGTATTCCACAAGGATCTAATCTTGGTCCTCTATTGTTTGTACTCTTTATAAATGATTTGGCTCTAGTTTTAAAATGATATTTACCTATTGCAGATGATCTTAAAATATACGAAGAGGTACAAACTGTGAGGATTTGTGTAATAGCACAAAAGGACGTTGTCACCAGTGATACTGTAGAGGAATATACAGGGTAGTGGACTGAATGAATAATGGTCTACAACTTGAATTAAAAGGTTTTATTATTCATTAAGTGACATCAGTGAAAAACTGAAAATGCAATATCAATCAAAAAATGATAATTCAGCTCAAAAAAAGAATGTCGAATTAAGAAAAGGGTAAGGGGTGGTCTCCATACTTATTGTTCCTTAACTTCTAACCACCCTAATTTTATAAAATTTCATAATTTACAACTTTTATCGAAAGCTTTTTCCAACTTTTAGCTATTTTGAATAACCTTAAAAAATAGTTTAATTTTATTGTTCATTCTGTCATTCATCCTTTTCAAATAATTGAACTTATATCAAAAATTTCTCTATTTTCTCAAAAATTTTGATTGAAAGGTCTATTTGATTGGACTAATACATATTTTTATTAGATATAATAAAATCAAGTATGGACAATAACTATACAGGGTGATTCATTACTAATTGGAAATATTTTAACTATAGAATCCTGAGAACCCAAATCATCTTGATAAAATGTGTCTCCATTCTAAGTTACAGGGTGTTTTGTTAAAAAAATTAAAAATTATTTCTGTCCAGTACTTTAAAACTATTTGACGTATTATTGTCATATTTGTCGAGAAGTTTAATCCATGTTAACGTGGTTAATCACTCTCTGTGAAATAAATGTATGACTTAATTACTGGTTCCATTAAAAAAAAAAAACAAAAATACAAAGCGTTTACAATAATAATTTAAAGTTGACTCAATTAATATAAAACAAAATAATTGTGCAGCTTCATGTTTAACTTAAAATATCTCGAAAAATAATAACTTTATCGCTATGAAGAAAGAGTATGATATTTACGTAGAAATTATTGGAAAATCGAACAATTGTGGTAAAATTGCATTTCAGCCGGTGGCGTAGAATTAGGGAAAGATTAACCAGTCACTTGCCCCTATCGTACGCCTATGATGGTAGCCAGAAACGTTTATTTAACATAATTTAGTAGGGCGTATAGTATCTACATTTCCCGCCAAATATGATAATAATACGTCAAACAGTTTTAAAGTACTAGACAGAAATAATTTTTAAATTTTTAAACAAAACATCCTGTAACTCAGAATGGAGACACATTTTATCCACGTGATTTGGATTAAATCTTCATAATTTGAGCTCAGGATTCTATAGTTGAAATATTTCCAATTAGTAATGAATCCTGTATTTAATTATAATTTGTTTAATTTTGATTGAGAGACTTTATCATTTATTTAAGAAACTATTAGTCACGAAAGTATTGAATTGAATTACATAATTTTATTAGATCTAAATCATTTATATTTATCTCGTAAATATCAAATGTCGTTTTGTTGTTGAAATTAATAATTCTAAACAATATTAATTTAATGTAAACAAAACATTTTTATTTATAAACTTTGATGAATTACTAAAACAAATAGGTACCTAATTATATAAATAAATAAGTGGGTCATCGAAATATAAAAAGATTTTTGAAATGATGCTGTTTTTCTTAGCACAGTTTATACAGGATGTTCCATTAGTGCGAAAGTGCTTGATATTTCAATTTGTATTATAGAAACAGAAACAAGTTTTAAATAAAAAATATATAGATTTAAACTATTTTTGGATATAAAGGGTGTTAAGCTTATAAATTGTATACCCTGTACTTTATTACAGCTTTAGAATGTAATATTTTTAAAAACTCTGTAGTACTTTTTAACTTACAGTAGTAGTTGGTAAGTCAGTTAAATCCCCATCAGCAACATCGGTCGGCGGAGGCGGTTGAGGCGGTATGAATATTCTTCTCAAAATGGGTCCCCTACCGGAGGGAACTGGTAGGGATCGAGCTAGATGAGAGAGATCGGAAACTCCTGAGACGGACCGGCATTGGGAGACCAGGCTTTCATATCGCCTACATTGTTCCATTGACTGAAAAGGAATGAAATGATTAAGTAATTAAATGAGATTGAATGTGGGTAGTAGTAGTTTTGTAGCGGTTTCTCTTTATGTGTATCTGTCTGTCCTCTGATCAATGCATGAATAAACCCATTCAGCTAGCAAGGGTAGCTTTATAATTTTCAGTTAATAGTTAATATTGTATTAAACAAATTATAGTATACGGAAACTTGGCCTTTTTTTCAAACGACACCATTTCCTTTAAGTGTAATTCTTTTAAAAACATAAATCATCCTTTTAAATTTATTTTAACTCATCTAATTTCTATTTATTAATTTATCTATCTGTTATACACTAGTCGTATATTTGGGAAATCGAAATCACGTGATTTAAACCCTGTGAGACATGTTTTTTTAGTTTTTGAAATCTGACCTAAACGTAATCTAGTCAATAATACTTGGTCTTTTCTCTTTTTTGGGAACACTGTTCAGGGTTTTATATCAATTTTTATTTTGTTTAATTTTGTTGTGTCCATTTTCCATTTGCTTTCCCAAGCACTAATCACTTTTGATTTATTGTACGACTTCACGTCACTACTCAATATTAGATTCACCGTTAGTTAGAATTTCCTTAAAATATTCCAATGATTTTTGTTGTTCATCTTTCCATTCGAAAGGTACATCCTTTTTTAAAAAAGACGTTAAAGGTTTAGCTAGTTTAGAAAAATCTTTAATAAATCTACGGTAGTACCCAATTAATTTTGTGATTTTGTGGTTGTGGGTAGTTTTTTATTGCATGTATTTTATTAGGGTTCGGTGAGACACCTTTATCGCTAATTACATGTCCTAGGTATGCAAATTCTTTGTGCATAAATTCACATTTGTCAGGTTGTAATTGTAGATGATTTATCTTTAGTCTGGAAAATATATTCTTTAGTTTATTTGTGTGCTCTTCTATTGAAGATGCAAAAATTACTATATCGTCCAAATAAACAAAACATTGTAGACCTTGTAATCCGGCCAATGCAGTATTCATAACTCTTTGAAATGTACTGGGTGCGTTTTTCAAACCAAATGGTATTCTGAGATATTCAAAATGATCAGAAGGGGTTGAAAATGCAGTTTTTTGAATATCTTCCTCTTTCATTAAAATTTGATGAAAACCGGAAGCTAAATCGAGGGTTGTGAAATATTTAGAGTGACCAAGTTGATTAAAATATCTTATATGTTAGGTAATGGGTAGCCATCACCTATTGTTATATCGTTTAATTTCCTATAATCTGTTACTATTCGAAAATTATTTTCTTGCACGGAAACTTGTTTTTTAGGAACTATCCAAAGGGACAGATTCGCGGATTATACCTTGTTTCATCATTTTAGATATTTGTCTGTTAAGTTCGTCTTTATAAATTTCTGGAAATCTATAAATTTTAGATGTAATAGGTGTATTGTTATTTACTCTAATTTCGTGTTTTACTATGTCGGTATGGGTTATGTCGTCGTTAGGGAGATAAAAAATGTCATTGAAATCCTCACAGACACCAAGTACTGAATATTTTTCTTCGGCATTTAAATGATCTGATCTTAATTTTTCATGTAGTATTTTTATTCTCTCTAGGTTATAACTTTATTGGTTTCGTTCGACATAGGAAAATATTATACATTTATTTTCATAAAAAGGGTCTAAATTTAATTTGATTCTATTTATTTTCAATGTTTTGTTTTGCGTATTCAAAATAGTAGTAGTGGCTTTACAATTTTCTACTTTTAAAATTGCTTTTGCAAGAAATACGCCTTCGGCTATTTTAATTTCCGGGCAAATTCCTTCTTTAATATTTTTATTTAAAATGTTTACCTGTATTACGGTCTCTGACCTTGGCTGAACGAGAAAACATGTGTTCTTCGTTATTAGCTTTAAATGTTATATTAATGTTTCTAAACATTGTAGTGATAATTCGGAGTCTTCTAAATTTATGATTGCTCCTTGTGGTGCTAATATGTCGTTTCCAAAAATGTCATCCATCGGCACATTTTCGAGAATTTAATTCTATATTTAAGACACAGCTTCCTATCGTTTAGACAGGAGCGTTGGCACTTAGACCATTTAAGATAATTTTGTCTTTTTCATCGAAAGACTGGAAAAGATCGTAAATGTTTTCGCGATTCCTTATTAGTGATACTGAAGCACCTGTATCAATAAGAAATTTAAATGTTTGATTTTTACAAGAACAGCTAATATAAGGATTATTATTTTTATTAAAAAATATGTGATATTCTTTTATTTTATTTAGCAATTTTTTTGAATGATCAGATTTTATTTTATTTGGGCTTTTAGTCGAATTTCTATTAAAATTCTCTTTGGAAAATTCTTCGGACGTTTTAATTTGACTCTCTATTTGAGAAGTCTTAAGTTTTGTCAGATTTCTTTTGAAATCGTGTTTGTCATCGAAATTTCGACACCTTGAGGCTGGTGACTTTGATCAACGATGTATCGTCTACTTTAAAATTAATGCCCTGAAATGTTTTTGGGTTAGAATTGCATTGTATAAAAATTTTTCAAATAAAAGTTGTTTTTAATATAATTTTCTATAATTTTTATCGTTTAAATAATTTATCTAAAATGGACCGTATTCAAGATATTTAGGAAAATGTGTAACTTTAGAATTTTGAAGAAAACTCAAAAATTTTTGGCAGAGTCGGAAAATCTGGGGGAAGAACTTTATAGATGACGTTTTTATATTTTATGGAATATATTTGGTATTTACGTTAGGAAAAGAAAATTCTACTTGTAATATTATTCTCTATATTTTTTGCTCTATACAAAATTTTTCTAAAGTGATCTGTAATCGTGAAATTTGGCAAAATGTACAAAATTCTGATTTTTAAGAAAATTGTTAAACTAAAGAATTTAGTTCATCTTCTAAATATTTACATAAGTGTTACAATAGGTTGTACAAAATAACCGGAAAAAAACCAGTAATAACTAGATAGGAAAGTCATGTGTTGGACACATCAGATTTTTATTAATAACAATCATACTATTGACTTTGCCTTTTACCAGTCTAAAATTTATTTCATTAAACATATCTTTAATATTTAAGAGAGTTAAAATAGACAAATAAATCGTAAAAAGATTGCCAGGTTATTTATTTTCGAATTAATTTAATATTTGTTTAAAAAATAAAATTCGCTGGGGACAAAGACATGTTTTTGTATGAATTAGAATTCAATTAGCTTATTATATATTTACATTATTTGAGTAATTATTTAACTTTGTTATAAATAGTCTGCTGGTGTTACATTAAACATACATTATGCAAATAAATATTATTTTAATTAACGCGAAGTCCGATCAATGTAGGACTGAATACTCACTGATCTGTATTTAATATTGTGATATAGGCCATATAGACCACGTGAAAAAGTATGTCAACAATGCCGATTGAATTTGAAATGAAAAATAGGTACCTAAAATTCACTAATTTTAAATTTGTAGGGACCACAAAGTACTTTTCAAAGTTTTTTTAATGTTTCTTACATTTTCATGGTGACTACAAAATGTTCAATTTTAATAAATTCCTCCATTTTCGTCAACAATCCCTATTTCGCTACAATTTAGAAAAAACACTCATTGTTAAGCTGACAGATAATGATACAGTTTATTTTTACTAGATCCAATCTTCTAATATTTTTATAGATTATAGTCGAACAATGGCTATGTTTAATTTTAATTTTGTATTCGTTAAAACATATAATTACTTATAACAAATATTTTATAAAGCTTTGAATGATAAATATTTTATAGAAAATACCAGTTTTACTGTCTCTTATTTACTTTAAAAATATATTGTTTTTCTTTAAATTAGATCTTAGAATTTTTAGATAAGAAAAACAAATATTACCAATTGTTGAGCAAATATGAATAAAAAAAATATATAAGTCAAGTCAAAATCAATTTAATAATTTTTTTAACACATTTAGCCCCACGTTATAATTGGTTAGATACATCCCTGGCACCAAATATTTAAAATGCGTTTTTTTGTATAAATATATTTTTTAAATATTTATTATCGTGTTTTAATGCATATTTATTCTTTTTTAGTTTTTTTTTTTATTTTTTTGTTTTAGTGCCCACCGGGTCACGTGGTTCTACGTGTAATTTTACATTCTGAGACCGAATGTCCACCCGTGGACACGCATTTTATTATATCTTTAGAGTTGGACATGTCTGATGATGAAGCAACAGGCTTTTCCTACGACTCCATTGCAGATCAGGATTACACCTATGAAGGAAGCTCCGGTTCAAGTGAGAATGAATTTTCTGAAGATGATGCTGACAGTGAAGGTGATGTCGAGGACGAAGCTGGTGAAAGTTTTCCTCTTGCTGATGTTATACCCGAGAGGAATTGGGAGCTTGTGGTAGGGGACAGATTGAACTTTACTTTTTCTGCTGACTACACAGGCGTTCATGCAGATATAATTCAGAAACTTAGTGGAGCATCTCCTATATCTTTTTTTGAGCATTTTATAGATGATGAAATCATCTCATTGTTTATCGATGAAACCAATAGATATGCTGCGCAAAAAATGGCTTGACACTGATCCCATAGAGATGCGCAAGTTCCTTGTTATCATCATATGGATGGGACTCATGCATTTGCCAAAATTAAGGGACTACTGGAGCAGAAAAGGAATTTATGAAAACGGTATTCGAAAAATCATGAGCCGCAATAGATATGAGATAGTACTGACAATGTTTCACTTATCAGACAATGAATAACCGGTAAATCAAGAAGACAGGCTACATAAAATTTACAAATTTTTGAACATACGGGAAAAAAATTCAAGGAATCTTATATTCCAGAAGAAGTCTGTATTGACGAAAGTAATGTACCCTTTCGAGGACGTATATATTTTCGGCAGTATATTCCTAACAGAAGACATAAAGATGGCATCAAGGTTTTCAAACTCTCTGTTGCTGGAGGATATACCTGGACATTCAAAGTATACACAGGTAGAGAAAGAGCCGAAGATGTTTCTGTTGCCCAAAAAATTGTAATAACACTGATGGAGGGTCGTTTGGATACAGGCAGAACACTGTATACTGATAACTGGTATACTAGTGTTTCGCTTGCTGAAAATCTAACCCAGCGTCAAACACATTTAGAAGGAACTCTAAGAGCAAATAGGAAATATAATACCCCAGATGTGGTGAAAACAAAATGTGAAAAATTAAAGCATATTTGTAATTTAAATACATTTTCTATTTTGAGCCATTCTAATCGTTTTATTTTAGACGAAATGGTGATTAACTGTATCAAACGCCTTACTGATATTTAGAAATAGACATAAACATTGTTGATTTTGCTGCAGGCTGTGGTATATTTGAGTTATCAAAGCTAATAATACATCATCTGTAGGTTTTTTTCTCTAAAACAAAACTGTCTAAAATTAAGTCTACGTTTTATTAGCATCTCAAAAATGTTCGACAAGTGATTCAGTAGAGAAATTGGTCTATAATTAATTACTAGAGATAGATGTATCACCTTTTTTCAAGCTTTTGGAAAAAAAAAATTATACAAATATTTAGAATATATGTTAGCAGATTCCCTATATAAAATGCAATAGTTTTTAGAACTTTTACACAAATGTCATCAAAAATTGGCAATTTTTTCAAACAGTTAAATAGATTTAAAACTTCAGTTTTATTTGTTTCCAGACACACCATTAAATTATTTTGTATAGTTCTAGTAAACTTATGAGAATTATCATTGTAACATATTACCTAATTTGAGGTGATTATTATATTTGTTACAAATACATATAAATAAAACAACTATTTCAGTACCGTAGTTTATTCATGACTGTGTCTACAAATCACACCAATATCGTTCCAATAGGTAAAACCACTTTTTATAAATATACTTTAATTGGAAAAGAAAACAATAAATTAAATCTAATATACAGAGTAATGCACACCAATTACCCGTACATCACAATCATTTACAATTTTTTTAGTCAAATTCTTTTCCTCTTTAGCAAACTATATATTAAATTCATTGCAGGTGTCGTTAGAATTTAATAAAGTTTCATCATCTTCATTTTTAATTTTTTTTAATTCTAGCTTAAAGTTTTTTATTCCCACTCAAACTTTGCACAATGTGCCATAGTTAGCTGGAACTGCCCTTATTTTAATCAATTTGTTTTTTATAATAGTTAAATTTAGTGAATTAAATTTTATTTTTTATTGTATTTCGATAACTCTTATACCTATTTTTTAATTGCAAATTATTTGGTGTTTTCTGTAATTGTTTGAATATTTTGTTTTTTTCATTTATCTTATCCAGTAGCGAATTTCTGACCCATGGTGCAATTGTTATAGTTTTTCTATTACATTTTTAAAAAAAAATAATAATAATAATAATAATAATTCCTATAGTATTGGATAGTATATTTACAAGTTTATTCACTGCAGAATCTGGATCCTCCGTGAAATACACACTCTCTCATGAAACGGTTATTACCAAGTATTTTAACACTATTTAATATTTTCTCGTAGGTTTCTTTCTGTTCTATATTTAATTCTAAAACATTTACTGCAACTTCTTCGGTAAGCTGATCTGTGTTGTAAGCCAATTCACTTACGATATTGATGGTTGTTAATAACAGTCCCTTGTTCTCGTGATGGTGAAATGAGTCATACGTCATTATTTATTTATGATGTTTAGCTACAATTCCAATTTACCTACCGTTAAAAAACCGATACTCCCATACAAACTTTTACTCCCCCCTTAAAATGTGAAAATCCAAAAAACTTTGAAAAATGTAATTATTTATTTATAACTCCAATGTTTAAGTTCCTACCCTTAAAAAACCTTACTCTTTTACAAACTTTCACCCCCCATTCCCCCCCGCCCCTAAAATGTGAAAATCCAAAAACTCTGAAATGCGTCATTATTTATTTATGATCGGTAACTACAATTCCAATTTTCAAGTTTCTACCTTTTAAAATAAATTGATACACCCATACAAACTTTCACCCCCCATTTCCCCCCTTAAACTGTGAAAATCCAAAAACTCTGAAATATGTCATTATTTATTTACGATCAGTAGTTACAATTCCAATTTTCAAGTTCCTACCTTTAAAAAATCATAAGTATTCCCTATGTATACCAAAACTCAATCATTCTGATCATATATACCACTGTATATGAAGTTTCTGTCGACGTCACTGGATACTTTTAAAATCACCCCATTTAAAATATATATAGGTACACCCTTCTTTAAAATTAAGAAATATAATCTCCTTCCTAAAGCTTAAAATATAAGTTCTGTAAAAAAACTTGCATTTTTAAGAAATGGGCGTCTTCACAATATTTACCTTAATATATTTTAGTAGTAGTAGTATCTTTTAGTATCTCATAAGAAACTAGTTTCATATTAGTGCTGCATCACAACAAAGAAATTTATTACGAGTCTGTAATTTGTAGAAAGATACTATACCTAGCTTGAAATTTCGTTATTTCTAGTTTAACCAGTTTATATTCACTTTGACTTATCAGCATTAACCGGTTAATAAAGAAAAACAATATTTACCTTAATTACATTTACCGGAACAAATTATATGTAGGTACAAGACCTATAGTTCGAGTCTTCTCCCTACCCTAGACATGTATCGGATCTTCGGTAGCCAGTAGACACATTCGCGAAGGCAACAACAAATAATTTTACTAGAGCAATAAAATATAGATAAATACATTAGTATTTTAAATTATTGATTTTTGAATTAATAGCTGTTATCTCGATATTTTATTTGTTTTTAATACAAAAAACTTCTGTGGGATATAAAAGTGACGTGTAAAAAGTTTATAAATCATATGTTTTAAATTCGGATGCATTTTTTAAATAAATACATTTAAGGTAAGTGAATAAATAGGTGTTAGCGAAATTATTGTATGTTACAAATAATTAACAAAGTGTTTAACACAATCATGTAAAATAGTGAATATATTTTATTTTCTAGAGTTTTGAATCATTACATTTTTGAAGGGAATTTTAAAAAAAATATGGTCATGTAGGCCAATTTTAAATATGGGTTCCTCTCGAGGATTTTTTAAATTATTGATTTTTTTCTTTTAAAAAAATATTATTTCCATATTATATCAATTCTAATTTTGAAAAAGTAACTTTAGATATGCACAGATTTAACCATTATCTAAGAAAGGTGTTGCTTTCCAGACGAAAAATCTTACAATGTAAAGGTTTCGTAGTGCTCCACTTTTAAAGTATTTTTTATTTTTAGGAACGCGTATGAAATTGTTAAATTACTGCTCCCATTTTTAAAATTTTATCGATTTAAACACAAGAGCACATTAACCCTTATCTACACGAACATATTCGAATAAAAAAAAAAATGTTGCAATTACGAAAGTCTACTGTTTTAATCCCCCTTTCCAAATTATGTACACTATGTTATTTTAAATTCAAAAAAAGATACCGTTTTAATTAGTTTAATGTAAATATATTGCCTAAGTTAAAGATTTAAGAGGCTTTGACATTTTTAAATTTAATAGTATTTGTTTGCACAGTCTGACTTGAATTATTATAACTTTTTAATTTAGATAAAACCTTTACAGAATATTAAATGGATTGGTACTTAATAATTTTCAATCAAAGTTAACCCCAATCAGTATTGCTATAATGTAATGTCAAGGTTCATATTTTTTAAATTCGATATATTATTTAACATGTTGTAAGCTTTTAGATTAGTTGTTAATACGATAGTAGATATATAAGTTCTCATTGTGACGCAAAAAAATATTCACAATGATATGATTTAACAAATATTAAATATACATTAAATATTTATTTTTAGAATTAATAATATTTTTGGATCATGTCGTTCACGTTAGTTTCGGTTAATGGAATTGTGTGGATCTGTCTACACGTAGTAGGTGGTATAGAATTATAACAATTCAAAATTAAATAAAAACATGCAACAATGAAAACTATTGAGAAAATTAAAAAAACCGAAGCGGCCCATGAAACAGACGAGGTTGAAAGATATTGGCCTCAAATTTTTGCAATATTAGTTGGTAAGTAAGCACTATATTTTTTTATATATTCTTATTTTATTAAAAATATAAAATTTATATTTAAATAACCTAAATTTTCTATTATCTAAAATTAATTGAAATCCTCCAATTTCAAAAAATTTCTGTGAAAACATATAGAAATATCCGTTAAACTAAAATTTTAACCTTTTAACAATGTGTTCCAAAATGTTGAATCCATATGGATTTTTTTTTTATTCAGTTCTGCTTTTTTACATTTCTATCTGTATACAAATATAAGAAAAGTATAGGAATCATGATTTTTAAAAACATGAAATAACCCATATCGGCTATAGGTACTGCATTAGTTATTTGTCAAATTCAGTATTTTAAAAAAAAATGAACTATTTTTCAAAAAAGAGCTGAATAACCGAAATACAGGGTGCTAAAAATTCGAAATCAAAATTCAAAATTACCCATAAATCAAAAAAGCCTTTAAATTTTATTTTTTTAAATTTGGTGACTAATAATATTTTGACTTAATTTAACTTTTAAAAAATATAACTAGTGCGCTATCAAGGTTAGTGGTAATTTACCCTATTTTTTACGCCAATGCAATAAACAGTTTTTTATTTTTCTTTTTTTTAATTCTCTGTTCATTTTTAGTTAAAAAAGTCAAAAACATAATAGAGTTAAAATAAATGGTGTTGAAAAAATTTGCTTGCTTGTGAAAAAAGGCTGCATGTATATACAGGGTGTCCCAATAGTGTGTGGAAATTCGATATATCCTATATCAAATAATGTTATATACAAAAGTTGTAGACAATAATAATCTGCACATTTTAAAATTATTTTCGATTTTATAGAGTGATCCATAACTTCATAATTGATCAAACCTATCTTTTTTTAAATGGACCACCCTGTATTTAATTATAAATTTGAATTCCCCTGACTTTGCTCTTCAAGAAAATACCAATATGTATGAAGTTATACTGGGAATTTGGGAAGTTTAAACCAATTTTATATAAAAATTGTACTAGGTTTAACCCTCTGTATATTTCAAAAGAAACAATCAAACATCAAAATTTTTCGATGAATCATTTTAAATGATAGTCTTCTTTTATAAGAATATACTAATTTTGTCCTAGCGCAACAGATGTGTACAGGGTGAGTCAAAACTCAGATACATGATTTTCTCAATTTTTTAAATGTAACACCCTGTATTTCATATCACTACTAAAAAGTACTCTAATTATACGTTCGTTTAAGTTAAATATTGCCTATCCCTAAACACAACAGTTTAGCGAGATTCTTAGAGGAAATGTTAAAAAGGGTTAATTATAACTAAATTCACAATGTAATTTGATTAAAACGCCTGTTAAGAGCAATCCAGTCCCTTCTGACGTCACACCGCACGAATCTCACGACCTCCCCTTAAAGTATTTGGAACCTTGTTCGCTACATAAATTTGGCAATGTTGTGTATCGTGCGCTGAAGGGTTATCATATTGGGTAGGGTCCGATTACAATTCTGGTATAATTCGTTGGCTATCGCCGCGTACTGGAGGTTAGTGTCTTGTTAATATACGAATGTGGGAATACTATTTTTAAACCAAACAACTCAAATATTTTTTATTTATTGATAGTTATAGATGATATACAGGGTGTCCCGAAATTAGACGGTCATATTTTAACAGCGTAATCTACATCCTAAAATAGTAGTAAAAGTTCATATAAACGTAGGTCCGAAAACTTTTCTTTTCCGAGATACAGGGTGCTAAAGGTCAAGTCCTGATACCACACTTTTGTAAATATTTTCTAAACGTTTAAAGATAATTAGGTAAAATTTGTTATAAATACTTACCTTTTTACGCTTCATTTATTGGACTAAACCCCAATTATTGACCATCTTCTTAGGTGGGTAAATTAGGGTAAAATTGCCGTGTGTGTCTGTGTGTCTATATCCATCATAACTCATGAACCGATACACAGAAAAACACTAAATTTTAAACTTAAGCTTTATTTCAGCGTTCAATAAAATGATTAGATTTTGAGCAGAGTCGGAACATCTGGGGGGTACTTTATAGGTGGTCATTTTTGTATTTTATAGAATATATCTGTTATTTACGTCTGGAGGAGAAAATTCTTTAAATAAAACTTACTTCTAATAATATTATCTATAATTTTTGTTCCATATAAAAATTTTCTAAAGTGGTCCGTATTCGAGAAATTTGACAAAATGTAAAAAAATTATTTTTTATAAAAAAATTTAAAATAAAAGTTGTTTCAAATATAATTCTCTATAATTTTTATTTTATACATAATTTCTCTAAAATGGACCGTATTCGAGATATTTGGGAAAATGTGTAAATTTTGAATTTTGAAGAAAACTCAAAAACTAATAAAGAAAAAACATTAAATTTTAAACTTAAGGTTTATTTCGGCCTGACGTGAAATGATTAGATTTTGGACAAAGTCGGAACATCTGGGGGGGTACTTTATGGGAGGCCGTTTTTATATTTTATTAAATATATCTGTTATTTATGTTTGGAGAAGAAAATTGTTTAAATAAAAGTTACTTCTAATATTATTATCTATCATTTTTGCTTTATGTCAAAATTTCCTGAAATGGTCCGTATTCGAGAAATTTGACAAAATGTGCAAAATTCTGATTTTTATGAAATTTGTTGAACTAAAAGTTGTTTGCGAAATCGATCTCTATAATTTTTGTTTATACATGATTTTTCTAAAATGGACCGTAATGGAGAAATTGTAGAAAAATTGCTAAATTTAAATTTTTCAGTATTTTCATTTTCAATGAATAACTATAAAAAAATGATTTCGAGGTAGATGTATGTGGAAAATGTATATATTTAGTTTATCCTCTAAACATTTATAGAGGTACTGCAATAAGTTGTACAAAATAACCAGAAAAAGTCTATAATAACTAGATAGAAAAGTCATGTGTTGGACACATCAGATTTTTTGACTATAAAATTTAAAAAACCAATATTTTCTGTATAATAAAGCTACATTTGTTGCATCTCGCTAGGACGCGCCATTTTCAAGAGAAAAGCATATTACCTTATTCGAAAGTGTAAACAATAATTAGTAGGTCTGTAGAATTAGAAATTTTATTTTTTTTAACTTTGAAAAACCGGTAACTAAAGAAATTTTAGAAAATATTTACAAAAATGTTATATCTGGACTTCACTTGTAACACCCTGTATCTCGAAAAAGAAACGTTTTCGGACCTATATTTAAATAAACTTTTAAGTCAAGTTTCTGCTTTGGATCTAAACGAGCAATATCGAATAATTTACCAAAATTTTCTTTAAACATTGCCTCGTTTCTTTTCTGCGTTGGAGACTTTTTTCTATATTGACTTTTTTTGAGTTGTAACCATTGAATAAATAACTTTAAAACTTTTTGCACAGCATGAAAATTTTTACAAGTTGGAAGTTCAGCTTGCAACCATTTCTCTTCAACTTTTTCTATTATAACCGAAGCACTTTATTTTAATGTTAGCTTATGTATAAAATGCTGATATAGAAACACTGACAGAACCTCTTTATTTGTTGGTAATTTTCGACCAACAAAATTTTCCTGAATCTCACCGATTAAGTATTTTTTTAAATCCATTATATTCGATGGAATAATTAACAAAATAACTATGAAGTTACAGAGCAAAACTATAAATAGCACTATCCAAGGAAAAATTCAAAAGAGAATGTCAAAACAATGTGACACAGTGTAAAGCAAAATCATAACTTTTGTCTTTTTGGTTATGTCGGTAAAAAAGTGCACTTTATTTTACAATAAATTACTGTTGGAAATTTTTTTATGAATTAAATAACCTCAGTTGATTCGTGAAATGAAAAGTGTCTATGTAAAAGTTTTTATGACAAAACAATTTATATAAAAGACTTAAAATACTCACCAAATGATCGAAACACAGTTTTTATGACAAAAAAATGTATAAAAAAGACTTAAAATTCTCACCAAATGATCGAAACACAGTTTTTATGACAAAACAATTTATATAAAAGACTTAAAATACTCACCAAATGATCAAAACACATCATAAAATGTGATTCAGAACAAAATATTTTAAAAAAATTGATAATTTCATCGAAATCTGAAAAAAAAAAAGATTGAATTTTTTTGTAACTTTAATTTTGACCTCGAATAACTTCTAACTGGTAAAAATATTCAAAAATTTTCCAAAGACTTAGAGCGTCAAATTTCCTATAAAAATAATTTTTGGTTTGACAATCCATTCAACCGCTTCAGAGTTACAAAATTCCAAAATAAAAAAAAAAATGTTATTTAAATGGGAAATAGAAATCTGCGATTCGCGACCTCTTAATATTAATATTAAGGGCTCTCGTTTTCACAGGTATCTTTTAACACCTTCTCAAAAGTTTTTACATGAGGATTTCGAAAAAAAAAATTTATTATTTTTTTTGAATCAGCCTAGCACTCAAACAATATTGTGCTATTTTACTATTTATTTATAAAGTAATAAGTTTTAATTGAATATTTTTCCAACAGGTGCACTAAGTGGATTCACAGATGGTGTGAATATAGCTTGGCCATCACCATATATAGTCGTAATTACTCAAGATAAAGATAACTACAATATCAGTGAAGAACAAGCATCATATTTCAATACCTTCCATGCTGTAGGATTTCTTATTGGGTGTCCAATCTTTGGTGTACTCTGCGATAAAATTGGAAGAAAGAAAACGTATTATTCGACAGCAATCTTACACATCTTAGGACTACTATTTGCAGCTTTTGCTAAAGATATTTATTTGTTTTATTTATCAAGAATATGTGCGGGATTGGCCAATGCCTGTTTCTTTGCTGTTTTTCCAACGTACGTTGGGGAGATCGCTAATCCAACAGTGAGGGGAAGTTGGGGAAATGCAGTTGCGTCATCGATGTATCTTGGCGAATTAGCAATAAACGTAATCGGTAGTTATGTTAACGTACCAACGGCGTCATATATATGTCTTCCTTTGCCTATGATCTTCCTTGTATTATTTTATGCAATTCCGGAATCACCTTATTATTTAATTATGAAAGGAAGGGAGGCAGAAGCGAAAAAATCTTTAATATATTTCACTCGTAAAGAGAACGTTGAAAAAGATTATATAAAACTAAAAGAAGACGTTGATAGACAGTTATCAGAATCTGGAAGTTGGGTCGACTTATTTAAAATTAAGAGTAACAGAAGAGCTGTGTTAGCAGGAACGTTTTTAAGATTCACGCAACAAACGTCTGGTTTGGGTATATTTTGCTTTTTCACTCAATCAGTATTTCAAAAAGCAGGAACCAATATCGGCCATCAGCTAGCTTCAGTTATATTTATGGCAGTTAATATGGTTTTAAATATAATTGTACTACTGTTTATAGTTCATCGATTTAGTAGAAAGAAATTGTACATAGCATCTTTAGCTAGTTCTGGAATAGTTTTATACCTTTTAGGAACGTTTTTCTATGCTGATTCACATCTAAATGTGGATCTGTCTGCAGTTAGATGGATGCCTATTACTGGTATGATTTCCTATTTGGTATGCGCTTCATATGGACTATGCGTTATTCCCTCTTTAATGATGAGCGAATTATTTTCGGCAAGTATTAAAGGGAAAGCAATGGCATTTCTTCTTATTTTTATGTCACTTGGAAATATACTGATAAATACTTCATTTTATTATTTAATTGAATATCTAGGATTTCACTCGCCATTTTATTTGTATGCCGTTGCTAATACTATCGCTACGGTGATGTCATTTTATATTATTCCAGAAACGAAGGGAAAAACTCTTGAAGAAATCCAACAGATGTTGAAACAGAAGAAAATGAAAGACTGAAACGTCGTTCCATGACTAGACTGATATTGTTAAATGACTCGATTTTTGTTAAGAATGTTAACTCATTTAACTTATTTTTAAAATTAAAGTCTGTGGTACTTCTAATAAATTATTTTATTTCTGATTTTAAGTTGTTTGTTGTAAGTAAACTTTATAATATTTTTATTTTGCCACTTTTTTTTACTATTTCGTAATTTAAAATATCGTATAAGTATAAGTAAGAGCATAGAAATAATATAGAAGACCAATATAATAGACTAAATGGTAAAGACATCATATTTTGAACATTTCACATTAATTACAAAAATGTTCAAACTTTGCAATAATAATCGACTAGTTTAAATAACACTAAGTTTAAATTTGCAACAATTTTCAAGGTTCGGAAATAGTTAATTTATACCAAAATGGCGCTTTTGTTTATAATGTTAAGAAAAAACTTGAAGCAATATATAATGTATGCCAACATTATATCAGATTTGCAACTTTTTTGAAAGTCCAGAACATGATTTTTTTTTGTAAAATAGCGTTTTGTTTATATCATAAACAAAAAAATTGCAAAAATGCTGCAAACCGATGACGAGTTATGTCATCTCATAATTTAAATCATGTTTTGTTTTTGTAAATTTATTTCAATAAAACAGAAGTTTTCTAATACCTTAATTTATATATTATTTCCATTCAATTTTAATTTTCAATTTTGTGAAAATCAAAAAAATATTTTAATTTTGTTACCAACCATCTCTAAGTTTCAAAAAATGTATTTCTGTGGTGACAAAATATTATTTTTCATTTCCTTGTTTTATCAATAAATATTTCATATATGATCAATATAATGATTATTTTAAAAAGTTACTAGCAAAACTTTCTTATTAAACATAACATTCTTGTGGTTAGATTCGTATGCTGATGATCTGGTATTATTTTCTAGAGGAAAAAAATATCCAATTAATCCAAAAACACCTACAACAAGCTCTGAATTCACTAGAAAATTGGTCAAAAGTAACAGGACTGCAGTTTTGACCAATGATATTTGAGAGAAAAAGTGCAAATTTCAAATATGGTAAAACTTAAAAACGGATAAAAAAACATAAAATTTTAAACTTAAGCTTTCATCCATTCTTTAATGAGCTGATTAGATTTTGGGCATAGTCGGAGCACTTTGTAAAGGGCCGTTTTTCTACTTAATGGCATTATTTAGTATAGATCTAAGTGGCATATATCTCCTTTTAAGGAGATGTTGGCTGTTACCAGCGAGGTCCAAACTGATATCTTTAATGTTAGCCTAAGAAAGTTGAGGACTGTACTAAATTAAGTTCATTAGAAATTAAAGTTTGTTTGGTTTTTAAATTTCTTATTGTTACTTAACTCTACATTAGTATCCAATAAATAAATATATGTAATTTACACTTAAAGAAGAAAATTCTCCAATTAAAAGTTGCTTGTTTTATTTTTCTCTGAAATTTTTATCCTATACATAATTTTCCAAAAAATGGTCATATTTGAGAAATTTGAAAAAAAGTGCAAATTTCGATTTTTAAGAAAATTGTGATGTCATTCTCTACAATTTTTGTCCCACACATGATTTTCGTAAAATGGACGGTATTCGAGATATTTGAGGAAATTTGCCAATTTTGAATTTGGAAATTACTCAAAAACAGATAAAGAGAAAAACTAAATTTTAAACTTAGGTCTTAATAAATCCTGCAGTGAGCTGATTAAATTTTGGGCATAGTCTAAAACTTTCGAGGGGGAGGGGGTACTTTATAGGGTGTCGTTTTTTTTTATTTTAAGGAATACTATCTCTGTTATTTACGATTGGTGAAAAAAATTCTTCAAATAAAAGTAGTTTGCGATATCATTCTCTATAATTTTTGTTTTATAGATGATATATCTTTAAAATGGACCGTAATGGAAAAATTTAACAAAAAGAGTAAAATTTTAATTTTTCAGTATTTTCGTTAGCAATAAATACATGTATATAATATGTGGAGTAAGATGTGTGTAGAAAATCTCTAAACATTTACAGGGATGATACAATAGGTCGTACAAATTAACCGAAAAACGCATTTAATAACTAGACAGGAAAGTCATCAGATTTTTATGTAAAAAAGCGGAAAGAATTATTTTTTGCAACAATAGTACACAAAAACTATAGGGATAAAAACACACCCTGAATTATCTCTTTAGCTTTAGAATAATAGTTAACAGGTGCAGTGTTAGTATAAGTTTATTTAATTTAGATAGATAAAACAAATTTCACATTGTTTTCACGTCATACAAACTTTAGTTTTTCTTTTTCTTGTATGACCCATACATGTCCTATATAAAATATAGTTCTCCTGATATAAACCAACTGAAAGGCCATACATTGTCGTAAAAATCCTTCAAAAATGTCTGCAATTTTGAAAATATAGTGGCAGTCCATACGGAAATCGCCGCAATCAGTACGGAAATCGCCGCAGTCAATACATAAATCAGTGCAAGAAATCTATTAAAGTCATAGAAAAATCACTGCAGTAACTATGAATCTGTAAAAGAGACATGGAGATCACCGCAGTCATCCAGAAATCACCATATGATTGCGGAAATCAGGTGAATTCGGCAATAGGGGAGAGCGGGGCAAGACGGGGGGTAGTGAGGTAAGATGGGGTACCACTGATTGTAGCGAGTGGGGGCAGTCGATCGAACGGAAAACAACAACAAAATGCGCTGTCAAGGTCTGTAACCACGGGTTGAAAGTTTAGTATGCCGTGGAATTGCGACGAAGCAGTTATGTAAAGTTATCTCCAAATAATCTGTGATTTCATACGTTACATTTTTATAGTGGTCAAGTTTAAACTGTGATAAGTAAGTAGACATTATTTTTACATTTTTTAAATATTTACTAGTGTATGTGGGATGTATTTGCAGTTAGTTACGTATAATTAGTTTTTATTTTTTATAAACCAGAATCGCAGTAATTAGAAATTTTTGCAAAATGGCGCGAAGGGGCAAGATGGTTTTGTTTTTGAGGGGCAAAAAGGGGTACTACTTGGTATATAGAAAGTCACCTTTGTTGTTTAAATTGCCAGAGTAAAATTATATTTATAATTATTTTCTTTTTAAGATCATGGTGAGAAAGTATAAACGAAAGTCTGACCGTGGAAATTGGTCTGTTGAAGGGATGGAACATGCCGTTACAGCTGTGTTGAATGAGAAAATGGGATATAAAAGGGCAGCTGAATCGTACGGTGTGCCTCAATCAACTTTGGAGAGAAAAGTTAAAATAGCTAGAGAAAATCCAGATATTGGAACTGAGCAACTTAAACCCAGTTTAGGTCCAAAAAAGCCAGTTTTTAGTTCAGAAGAGGAAAATTTGCTAGTAAAATTTCTCTTAAAAATGGAGGAGAGATTTTTTGGCCTTACTCCTTACGACCTACGAGTATTAGCTTTCCAGTGGGCTGAAAGGCTCAATAAAGCCCATGTATTCGCAACTGAAAAACGAACTGCAGGGAAAGATTGGCTCTCAGGTTTTATGCGTCGCAATCCTAGGATATCTCTAAGAAAACCTGAGGCTACCAGTGCTGCAAGAGCAGCAGGATTTAATCCTACAGTTGTTAACAATTTTTTTGATCTTCTAACTCGATTAGTAGATAAATATAAATTAACTCCAGAAAGAATATACAACTGCGATGAAACTGGCGTATCAGTTGTTCACAAAACTAAGTCAAAAATTATTTCGTTAAAAGGAAGAAAGCAAGTTGGAGCACTGTCTTCTGCTGAGAGAGGTAAAACTATCACAATTGAGATATGTTTTAACGCTGCAGGTACCTACATGCCACCAATGTTTATTTTCCCACGTTCTAAAATGAATCCAGAGTTATTGAATGGCTGTTCTCCTGGTGCATGGGCTGAGACTCACCCAAGTGGATGGATGCAAAAAGAGATATTTTTTGCATGGTTTAAAAAGTTCGTTCAATTAAGCAAACCTTCAAAAACGTCACCTGTACTTCTGTTACTAGATGGCCACTCCACTCATACAAAAAATATAGAGTTGATCAACTACGCACGAGAAAATGGTGTCATTTTATTATGTTTCCCTCCACATTGTTCACATCGTTTGCAGCCACTGGACGTTTCATTTATGCGGCCTGTGAGTGTTTTCTATGATACAGAAATATCTCAGTGGCTGAGAACAAACCCAGGACGGGTTGTTTCGCAGTATCAAATTGCAAGCTTGTTCGGAAATGCTTTCTTGCGAGCAGCTACAATGCTTACGGCAATTAATGGATTTCGTCAGACTGGAGTATGGCCACTTAATAGAAATGTTTTTGGAGAAGCAAATTTCGCTCCATCACAGACCACAGAAATTGTTCTTTCTAATAACTCCATACCTGATAGTCAAATGAATACGTCTGAACTTTCCACGAATTTGTCGAATCCGGTTATTCCTCCGCGCCCTTCTACACCTACATATCAACCAATAGTTAGTTCTGATGCCCCAAGTATCCAGGCTTCCTGTTCGTCTAATTCCACTTTTAAAATAGACTTTCAAGATTTAACTAAGCCTGCTACTTCCTTCGAATTTATAACTCCAAAACAAACTAATCTTTCGCATTTACCATGCACACCGGAAGATATTATGCCGGTTCCTTCCTGCAAGCAAACGACTCCTGGGGTTACCCGAAAAAAAGGCAAGACCGCTGTTTTAACGGAATCGCCACATGTGGGGCAAGATGAAGTTTTTGACATGCCCCTGTTTCAACTTTTTTTACTCTTTCATTTTTATTGTAGGTTTTTTTAATTTTAATACATAATTAACAAATATATAACAATGTGTTTCCTAATTTTGTAAATTTATTGAACTTATCCTGTATGAAATATTATCAATCAAACCTTAAATACCCCCCGTCTTGCCCCGCTCTCCCCTACATGTACATTTTTACAAAGAGTGGTTTGGCTCTCGGATAAAACCTTACGTCTACAGAGTATTAAATCGATTTGTACCCTATAAATTTTCA